AAACAAACAAACAAACACAACCAAACCAGTTGCCGCCACATCAGTTCTCTTTCCTGGAGACGCCAGGAGACCAGAACTGCAGACTAGAGCTGCTCTCTCTCTCTCTCTCTCTCTCTCTCTCTCTCTCTGTGTTCAAGGCTGTGGCCATTTGGAATAGATTGCCAGGCCTTTCTTTGGCGACGCCCCCAGGTTAATTCCAATCGCCAACTTTCCTGTGAGTTGTCAAATGCCCCACTGTTGGCACCCCATGTGCTCCACTGGCTAGGGTACGCCAGGCCGGCAGAGTCCCTCCCACAGCAAGGACAGGCCCTGGTCGTATGTCTCTTGCTTGGTTTACATGGACTGGCTGGGCTTGTTAACATTAAGTCTGTTGATGGTTCCTTTGTATCAATTTTTCTTTTCAACTTAATGGTGTGTGTGTGTTTTAATTTACTGGATGGCTGCTGGCTTCCAGGGAGCACTAAGTAGACCCCAGTGGGTCTGTTTGGCTTTGGCAGCTGGGGAGGGTTTCGTGGTCCCTGGCATTCTTTCAGGGGCTCCGGGGCCTCTCCGGTTTCCAGTGTGGTGCCATCTTTGGTGGTGGTGTGGGGGTGGCCTTCAGGAGAGAACCGACCTTCTGGTGGTGATTCTTGGCTCCTCACCTCCCAATGTGTGGCCTGGGGCCTCCTCTCCGGGCTCCCTGAGCCTCTGTTTCTTCGTCTGTGATCTGACCAAACTGTGGATTAAGTGAGATCATTCAACTGAGGTCTCTGTGCCCTTACAGTGGGTATAAAAGAACCATTTCTTCTTGCTCCCAGCAAAGGCAGCTGCCTTCAGTGGTGCCAACCTCAATAAGAACTCACTGCCACTGAGCCCGCGCTGACACCTGGCGACCCTACAGGCCAGGGTAGAACTGCCCCTGTGGGTTTCTGAGGCATTATAACTGTTGATGGGAAGCAGAAAGCCTCATCTTTCTCCCAAGGAGCACCTGGTGGGTTTGAACCACTGGCCTTGTGGTTAGCAACCCAATGCATAACCAGCTGTGCCACCAGAGCTCCGTTACCGAGAAAGACCGAGCTGTGGAGACGGCGGCTGAGGTTGGTTCATGGACCACTGGACTGTGACTTCTCGCCGGGCAGGGAGAGCCTTAGTCTCTTCAGTGTCATCTCCTCGCTCGCGGCAGTTATCAGAGCACCTGGCAGGGACCAGAAATGGCGTAGAAGGAGATTGAGGGGAACGCGCGGTGGTCTGTGGACGTCTCACCTTGGGCGCCGGTGGTTTTTAATGATAACAAGGAACCAGCTCCCACTTCGGTTGCTTAAGAAATACAGCTGCGCTGGAGATGTCCCGGAGCCCCATGACTGTCATAAATTTGGATGAAAGCATATCTATTTGTAGGGAAATCTACACTGTGAGAAAAAAATATATAGATGCCTCCTGAGTGAGTGAAGAGGGCCTACTCCAGGTGCCGCTGGGCTCTAGAAATGCCCTTGATGCCGTCTGATGGGTCAGGATGACCTTCTGCCTTCTCTCGTCATATGAGGGAGGGGAGGGACAATTGTCCTAGGCAGAAGGAGACCCCCTGAATGTCCCCTCTGGCAAAGAGGCTAAATCACTTAGTGTATGGATACTGCGGTCAATCCGTGTGCGTAAACCCAAACCGGTGCTGCCTCGTTGCTCCAGACCCATGGCTGTGTGTGTGTGTGTGTGTGTGTCGGAGCAGGCAGGGCTCCACTGGGTTTTCAATGGTGATGGTCTTTGGGTGGCAGGTTGCCAGGACTTTCTTCTGAGGTGCCCCAGGTGGGTTCCAGCCACCAGCCTTTCAGTCAGTACCCAAGGGCTTCTTCACCCACATGGTACCTACTGAGGAGAGTTACTACTTCAATGACTATCTGTTGAAGACGATGATCATATTATTAATGGATATCATCCCCTACCACTTACTGAGCGAAGTCTTCTCTGTCAGGGCTTGAGGCGCCAAGGCAGGGTGGCAGCATCCCCACCCTCACCTAGAGGGGCAGGGGAGGAAACTAAGTGTGCAGATGCAGACTGGTCCAGGAGGTGGTGGGGCTTGATCGTGGCGGGGTGGTGGTGATGGAAAGAGAGACTGGCAGATTCCAAGGGCCTGAGTGCCCCCAAAGAGGGGTCTTAATTTTGAAGGTTTCTTGAAGGATAGCGTGTGCGCGTGTGCATGCGTGTGCATGCGTGCATGCACGTGGATAAAGGTTTATAGGGCAAATCAGTTTTCCATTCAACATTTCATACATACATTGTTTCAGTTCATTGATTGCAGTCTCCCCAAGGTACTACCACTTATTCCACTTGTTCCTATTTATATTCTTCCTTCTTTGCTAACCCTTCTGAACATCTGGGGTAAAGGCTGCCCTTTGATCTTAAACCATTGTTTGCTCTCATGAGTGCAGACCTTCCTGGTGTTACTGTTATCTTTATAGACAAATTGAGCCATTGGGTGGGTCTAGTTTCAGACCTGCAGGGTGACGAAGGGTTCCGTCATCCTCTGTGTGTGTGTGTGTGTGTGTGTGTGTGTGTGTGTGATGTACCACTAGTCCCTATCTGACCAGTGAGCCTAGTCTCTTTTATGATTTTGAGTCTTGTTCTATATTTTCCTCCCACTCTATCTAGTACTTTCTAGTGTGATCCCGGTAAGAGCAGTTGGTAGCGGTAGCTGGGCACCATCTAGTTCTTCTGGTCTCAGGGTCGTGTGGTCCATTTGTCCATTGGCCTAATTGTTTCCATGCCAAGTGAACCAATTACAAAAGGACAAATGTTTTTATGAGACCCCTGCTATAAGAAAATAAAACCCGAAGCCCAAACAAAGACTTCCGTACCAAAAGGAATGAACTTTGGTGGGAACAGACCAAGGGGGAGAGCAAGGGAAGAAAAAGGAAGCAATGGGCTTGATGGTTGGCAGGTATTCACTCAGGTGAAGAGAAAGATAGCCACCCCCAGGAGGGAGACGAGAAATCAAAGGGGAGTGGGCTCGATAAGTAGCTTAAACTGTTGA